ACAGGATTGTGGGATATCAAAGGCAGCGAAGGATACATCTATGCTGCCTTCAAAATTCGATCAGAAGAAGGTACCTCCGGAGACAGGAAGTGAAGCAGAATTTGTATTCGGACGAGCCTTGATGCCTTCATGCCTTGAAATGCTGTCTCCGAAGGCAGCATTTTAGAGCTTTCAGACGCAGCGTGTGTTAATGAGTGAATCACTGAATCATTTATTCAACCGATTCGTTCAAAAAGCTGATTCATTCAATAAGTAAACACCATCCATTGCTCAGAGACGCAAAACAGTGCTGTGATCTTTGGTTTTCGTTAGCAAACTGAGCTCCTCGTGACACACTGTTATAAAGATGGCGTTTATTAAAGAGGAGAGTGAAGAGATGAAGATTGAAGAAACATTCAGAGTCAAACATGAAGATACTGAGGAACAAACAGGTTGGTTTTCATTCTCAAAGCTGAATTATTTTGTCCTCTACATTCTCTAAATTAATTTGCCTTTGCCCGGTGTTTATGTACATTGTCTGCCCTCCTGCAGTTTTCTCACCTTTCCTTTTTGAAAGGTTTTAACTTCATATATTGCTTCATTTAATTTTTTTCTTGAAGTTCTCTTAAAAGTAAATGTTCTACTCTTATTTTAGTGCTCTGATTTAAACACTGCATTTAAAGGGGTCATATGAATATGAAATTATCTAAATATAAAAAGCACACAGAAGCATTTTTGCCGTCTACAATTTAAAATGCCTTGATTTTTGAGTTTTAATAGATTAATAAATCAACGTGCGTGCACCCTGTGTGTGATTTGGTGATATAGCCTACTTGATAATGTCCGATCGCACATCATTACAAAAACACTAACCATATTATCGCAGACGATGCTGTATCGCACACCCCAGACTCGACGGAAAATGAATCATCCGCGGTTGTGCGCGCACTTGTTCGCACATGAACAACTTTGTTTTTTAGGAGTCTAACTTGCAGACACCAGACCACTGATTCGTCAAACCTGCTTTCCTGCATTCCATGTTCTTCTGACTTCTATTTTGTAGTAAGTAACGAATATGCTTCGGGGAAATGTATCGGAGTAAAAGTATACATTTTAATTAGGAAATGTAGTGGAGTAAATGTAAAAGTTGGCTGAAATATAAAAACTCAAGTTAAGTACAGATACTCCCAAAAATACTTAAGTACCGTAACGAAGTATTATTACTTCGTTACATTACACCACTGGTACACCACAAGTAAATAAATGTGGAAATAAATTAATGTTGACAAAAATACATGAATAATAAGTGAATATGAAATTAATGTAGAAATAAATAAATGTTGAAATAAAATTGACACTTGAGTAAACACAAATGTGGAGATAAATAAAAGTGGAAATGTATAAATAAATTAATGCATGTGGGGAAAAAAATATTACATAAATAAGAAAATACAAGTATAAATAGTCATTTATGTTTTTTTTTAAACATTTATTTATTTAGTTAGTCATCTTTGGAATGACATAAAGATCCCTGTTTTGCCTTTTAGACAGGATCTCACATATTAGATGCACTAATTTATTTTGGTCTGGTGGCGTGACCTCATAAGGCTGCGCCGCTCTCCTGCGTCTGTGTTTCAGCTGAAAAAAGGTTTGTGTTTTTAATAATTTAAAGTGTTTAAATAAATGCGAACCATTCAGTAAAGTTGATAGTTTTTTACAAGCTATGTAAAGTAAATTATTTAATAGTATGTTATCTAACATTAATGGATGTTATTTTGTGTAAATAAACCGCATTCACACATTAGTAACAGAAACGGTGCGTCTCATTTCGCTCCGAAAGGAAAAATTGAAATCGCATCATATAACCCCTTTAAAGAGTTGTCTCGTTTAATTCTTCATTGTAAATGCCTACTGCTAGGATTGAGCAACATCTTTGCATATGAAATTAATAACTACATGTGGAAGTCTTCTGAAAACGTTTCTTCGCTTTTACAGCAGCCAAGATTAACTAATCATGAAAAGTTATCTGGTCCGTCTTGTTTTGATATGATGCTGACGTACGCAAAATAAACTCTGGCGACAGCAGTCGCTTTCACCCGACTAGAGCTGCCCTTCTAATAGTCAACTGAACATTAGTAGACGAGAAGAGGCTTAGTCGACAAAAACGTTATTAATCGGTTAGTCGCAGAAAAAACCGATCTGTGTCTGTGACGGACATATTCTTAACGGTTGGTCATTGAGGTAATTACGGTATATCGGGCAGGAAATCAAAACGTTCGCCTATCATACATCGACCTCAAATAAATCATTTGAAAGTGAAACATTTAACTAGTAGCAACTTTACATGGCCACTCTCTCTGACGTTAACCTAGATAATGTGTGCTATTAAGTGCATATGCAAGTGTTTGTGTGGCGTGTGTGGAAGCTATTAGCATGCAACTAACTGCATGACATGCATGGCGCCGATGCCATCAAATTTTTACCTAATAACAGTAGGAACTAATTAAAATACACCGTAATTTTTGCTCCTACAGATAAGAGTAAGACATAGTTTGAAACCTTAAAGGGTTTACTTTTATTTGTGGACACTCACAATATTAACAAAAAATGCTTTTGTAAAAAAGAAAACAAACAAGATGTGCTTTTCTTGCATCACAGACATGAGAAATATATCTACAGAAAGCTTAAAATATGACTACTTAAAAACAAAAACTCCCTCATTATGTAATCAGCATGAAAGGTGCATTTCAGCATCATCAGTTTCACCTTTGCAGCCGACACGGACTCAGAAAACACTAGTTTATTAATAAATAATTAAAATATCTCCTTGCTA